CTAACTGGCCGTAACATGCGTGCGATGCGTTTTAACGCACCGCACAAAATAGAGCATGTTCTATTTTCCAACGCAACGTTGTGCGGTCAAGACATACTGTCGATTATTTAGATTAATTTTTTTGTATTTCAAAAATGGATCTTCTTATTTCCGAAGTACAAAAAAGATCGGTACTTTGGAATAAATGGGATCCAAAATTTTAAGATCGGGTAGTGGCAGACAGGCATTGGGACTCTGTATCCAAAGAACTTGGAATGTCAAGTAAATTAATTTAAAATTATATACTGAATAATGAATAAAGTATAAACTAGCTAAAGAAATATATTATTATTACAATATTATTATTTATTATATGATATATTAATATTTTATGGAATAATAAAAAAATTAAATAATAATAGTAATAATATAATTAGTTCCTATGAGCAATACTTTCCTTAAAATTTAGCGAAAAAATCATTTTTATAATATAAAACAATATTTATCGGTTATTTATTTATTTATCACAATTTATTATTGGAAAAAAAAATGCTTAAATTACTTCTTATATTCTCTGCTGCTCTGGATGTTTTGTTATTTCTCACACTTACTGCTAAATCGCTGGATAAATTATTAATTTGGTTTGATATATCTGAGTCCATATAATTTGCTACTCCTTTTTTTTCCAAATCTATAATCACGTTGTGGCTGTGCAGCATACATATTGCTTTTACAATGTGATCAGCATTGTCTACCTTTGTCTCTATAGACTTCTGCAAAATTCTAAATTTTGCTGCTGCTATACCGAAAGCATATTCTATTGTCATTCGTGCTCTGGATAGTCTATAATTGAAGTAACTTTTATTTTCATCATTTAGTAACCTTCTTGGGTATGGTCGCATCATGTATGTTCTCAAAGGAAATGCTTCATCAGCAATGAAAGTATATGGACCAATTAAGTTCGAATTTGGTAGTTTTTTAGGATAAGGTAGCTTCAAAGTTTTATTTTCAAGACGTTTTAAAATATTTGAATTTGATAATATACCTCCATCGCTATCTTTTCCATAAGATCCGACGTCAATCATAATAAATTTATAATTTGCGTCTGCAACAGCCATCAAAACAATAAAGAAAAACTGTTTATAATTGAAGAACATACTACCGGATTTTTTTGGACATTTTATCCGAATATGTTTGCCGTCTACACTCCCAACACAATTTGGAAAATTCCAATTTTCATAAAATTCTTGTGCAATTTTTTCGAAATCAGCTATCGTAGGTGTGGGCATATGTTTTTCTTTCAGTATTTTCCAAATTGCTTTACAAATTTCGATAACAATTGAAGACACTGCTGTTTTTGAAATTCTAAAGGTTAAAGCAATTTGCCTAAAAGCTAAACCAGTAGCAAGGTATCTGTGGAAAAAAAATTTGGAATATATATTGTATTTAAAATTTTAAAAATTTAACTAGTGGTGTGTCACAGTATTTATATTTTATTTTTATATTTTTATATATTTATTTAAGTTTTATATTATGTACATTATTATATATAATATAAGCCTCAATTTTTATAACTATTGAAAGCAAAACTTATGGACTACCTTGTATTACATTTTCAATTCTATGAATAAAAAAAATGTATACATTTTGAACTACAAAATTATTTGCAAATATTCATGATTTTGACGAATTTTTTCAATATTTTAAAATAACTTCAATCTTCTTGATTTTATCATATTTCGTAAAAATTTTAACTTTCTACGCTTATAGAAAAAAATATAATCTATTTACGTGGAACCTTGTTTTAAATTTTCAACCCTTAGCTATAAAAGTTGATAAATTGAAACATTTTATCAATTTTTAACTACAAAATAATTATTAAATATTAAATTTGATAAATTTTGTCAAAATTCGAACTTTAAATGCTTATAAAAAAAAATTGTGCCTATGTATTTTTAATATTTTTCAACTGCTATTGTAACATTATATCAGGAGCCTTGCATTAAATTTTATGATAATATATATATGATAAGATTCAATGTTGTTCAAATAATTGGTACTTATATTGGTATATTAATTTTAATTCTAATAATTATTGGTTTACACATTTTGCACAATATTTAAATTTAATTTCCACAGAAGACGATGTTAAAAAAAAGTGGAGAAGTCTACGAGATCAATTTTTAAAAGAATTTAAAAAAATCCCTTCCAGTCGTTCTGTAAGCAGTCAAGAATATGCTGCGCTATATCAAGGCTGATGGAGCTATTTTCGTGCGATGTTATTTTTGAAGGACACAGTCACACCAAGAATAAGTGATGGAAATATATCCGATGTAGACGTAGATGAGGTTGAAGAAGACATCAATGAGGAACAAGACGAACTCGAGGACATTGACCAGTCATTAGAAGTAAATATTTCTACAAATGATTATAATATTTCATCACCCCCATCAACTTCATTTACGACAACTAAAAAAAAAAAAGAAGAGATCAAAAAAACAAGAAACGGGCAATACTTTTGAACAACAACTGATTGATCTTGAAACTCGAAAACTAGCTGCATTAACTGAATCACCCGCTCCAGATGACGAAGATATTCATTTTTTTAAATCCATTCTTCCGTATTTTAAAAAAATGAGCCCCAACCAAAAATTACGATTGAGAAACGAGATCCAAAATATTTTGATACGTGAAAGTGTACCACCACAGCAATACTTCGGCTCAACAAATTCACATAACCAAAATTACATTATTCCATCAGCCTCTACCGTACATCCAACATACACTTCCATACCACCAAATTTCCAGTATCCAGACGACACACATTCTAGTATTCAAAATTAAAATGTATTTTTATAATTTCTTATTTCAAAAGTTAAAAGTTTTTATTTTTTATTTAATCATTACAATATTAATTTAATACTGGTATTTAGTTATTTTTTATAATTTATTATTTTAAAAGTTAAAAGTTTTTATTTTTTATTTAATTAGTATAATGCTAATATAATACTGCTATACAGGAATCTAGTTTAGTTTAATTAAATTAGTTTTATATTTTAATATATTATGTTATTGTTAATATAATATCAAAACTATTAATCATTTTGATTTGTTATTTATTAAACTAATGTGCTTACCTTAAAGTAATAATCAGTCTCTCTTCCACAGAAATTGGTATTTTAAAATTGGTTGTTTTATGGTAACATTTATTTTCAATTTCCTCTTTTATGTAGTCGAAAGTACTTGTACTCATTCGTGTGTAAGAACAGTAGTGTTGGGAAAAATCCGGATTTACCGAAGTTCGAAAATCCGGATTCATGAAATTCGAAATCCGTAATCCGGATTCCGATAAAAATCCGGATTTCGGAATTCAAATTCGGATTTTGAAACATTGAATTAATATTTTTTTTATGGATTCCTTATATTAAAGCCTTGATAAACAGTTGGACCAAATTTACAAATGTATAGTGTATACTGGGTAGTGAATATTTACTATTTAGTATTATTCATTTCAGTTGTACTTATCCTACAGAATAATTCAATCTAGGGCTGTATCATATAAAGACATTTTTTATTTTTTAATAACTAAAACTTAATACTGTTCACAAAGTGAAGTGCAAAAATATGTATCTGTTTTACAATTTTAAAGTTCAAATATTTTTAGATTCTGAGTGGAACGATGAATGTTTTTTATTTAAAATAGAAAATGTTCGTTTTTTATATTAGAATTGATAACGAAAAATTTTTATTTTCTGCTTTAGAATACAGAAATCCACAATGTGAAACCCAAATATTCGGATTTTACAACTTAAAATCCAAAATCCGAAATCCGGATTTTTCGGATTTTCGGAGAATCCGGATTTATTTCACACCACTAAAGAACAGAATAAATTATCATCAGCTCGAAGCTCTGAATACAAATGATGAAATTCGCCAAAATCAAACCTATCTTTATAAATTTGATGCAGCGGATTACGTTTGCGTTTTTTTTTCAAAATAAAAAGTTTAACCGCCAAACTTTCGGATAGTACAATTTTACGTTGTTCGGTGGTTAAGAGGACGCTATACCCGCATGTGTTGTCTCCGTCTTACAAATGTACAACATATCAAAAACTATTTTGCGCGGGAAAGAACCGAGAAGGCTACAGTCATAACTAAGAAACGAAATTTTCACCACATAAAAAGGAGAACTATGGCTGTGCAACGTTGTTTTTATTTTTTTGATATCACTTATATGAAAAAAGTTCTTACTGTTTAAAAAACCGTTATTGTTTGTGTTTTTCAAACTTGAAAAACTTTTTTCATATAAATGATATCAAAAAAATAAAAACAACGTTGCACAGCCAAAGTTCTTCTTTTTATGTTGTGAAAATATCGTTTCTTAGTTATGATTGTAGCCTTCTCGGTTCTTTTTCCCGCAAAACAGTTGTTTGCAATGTTGTGCATTTGTAAGACGGGACAACGCATGCGGGTATAGCGTCCTCTTAACGACATGTTAACAACAGAAAATAAAATGTACAACTGCCTACAACTGCCTACAACTTCACAAGTCACAACCTCCTGCACGTTGCACGTGAGAATTCATCGACGTCAATTTTGCCAACAATATGTTGCGTTGCGTGCGTTGCGTTGCGGGCGAACGTATAAACGCAACGCACGGATTCAGTTAGGACATAGCGTTACGGTTTTCCGGCCGTAGCTCCGAAACGGCTGCTCGTAGAGCTCCGTGAGGAAAATTTTGCCCCCTCGACGATACCCTAGCAGTTCTCGAGGATGCCGATAATACCCCGCAAGCGCGGACCCCCTATCCCCCCCAGGGGAGGAGTTAGGGTCCCCCGATAGGGACAGTGCGTCCAGATAGGGACAGTAAATCCGCACCGCCACCCCGATAGGGACAGTGCGGATAAGTCAAGACCGCATCCGCTAGTGCGCCCGCATAGCCGCCGCGGTTAGGGACAGCGCCCATCCCAGCCCAGGGGCCAGGACCCCGGCTCACGATGAGCATCCCCCCTAACGATGCGATGGACATGACCTCACAGCCCCTCGCCCAGCTGTGCCAAGAGACTTCCGCGGCCGGTGCCAGCTCAGGACCTCAACCCGATCCTAAGAGGCAGAAAACTCAGGAGGAAGCTGCTCGATCCGCACTGGAAAAACATGTCGCAGAGATCGAGGAGACGATCAAGATCGCCATAATCTCTATGAATGAAGAAACGGCTCGTCTAGCCAGGTGCACGAGGACAGCGAATGACTCGGGCAACAAAGAAGCCATAAGACATTTGTATGTAGAAACATCATTAAAAATGAGGGCATTTTTTTTCAAAAAACAATGGGAACTGTCATAGTAAATAGTCGTCAAGAAATTATTATTTAATATATATGTAATAGAGGTGGGAACATTCTAAATTGTAAAATATTGACATAGGTCAGTGAAGCAATATGTGCTGAGACAGCAATAAGATTTTAATATAAAACACCACCGTACGGACAGGCACGAGAGAGTCCCGTTGTCGCTGAGTGATTCGGCGAGGACGTAGGTACGACGGTGGTACGTGTGAAACGTCGATCGTAGTACGGGCTAGACAATTTGAATTTGCTGAGTGTTTCATTTATGTTTGTTTTAATATAATAAAAGTGTTTCCGACCTAAAAACCCGAGTTGAGTATTATTTCAAAGTCTTCTTCGTTCATACCTTTAATATTGGAACAGTGCTCAGACCCACACACCTATAGTCAATGAGATTTATTACAAACTGAACAGTGCTCTGGTTGTGGGGTCCTAATAGTCATTCCAATTTAGGAAACGGACGAAGAACTGACAAAACGCTACCATCGTACCTCAAAGGTTAACAGTGCTAATCTGAATTTATTCTAGAGACGGTCATTAGCCTAAAAGCGTACGAGGGTAAGGTATAAAGTTGGTTTTATCCGATACGGGTGATACCACAGTACCGAATAATTATTAATAATTATTAATTGCATTTATTTTATTCATACCTATTCCACAGAATTTTACGATCGAGATACAGGTTTCGATGTTTCATAATTATTATTACATTGTTTTGTGTTAGAAGGTTGGTAGCAATGAGAAACCATTATTCTGAAAAGGATTCAACTAACAATAATACAAATAACAGTTAAGAATGAAAAAGTTCTAATTGAATGTATTTTTTTTTATTTTAGGATAAAAAGGTTCTAATTGTAGAAACAATTTATAATTTTAGTTTTATTAATTTTAATACCAACCAATACAGCAAATTATTATTAATTATTAAAATGATGTGAATTAAACTATACAAGTTGCTACATGTCTTAGAACTTTAATTTTAACAAAATGTTTTTCTAGGAATAAGATATTTTAACTCAAACCTTAAAATTGCTCTCCTGGACAATTTCATGAAAACGATTGAGAACTTTTTCATTCTAGACCCATGAAGTTACAACGAATTGAGAACGATATTGCAAAAATTAATTGCCGGAAATCATTAGTTTTTAATTGAAAATGAAAGGGGAGTCTATTTTAAAAAAATTATATACTAGATATGTTAGCAATACATTTTGGGGCTTACAAAATTTACTATTTACACTTAAATTAAATATTTATTGCCATGGACAATATGTTAACTGGGTGAGGTAGAAGAATGTATACGTTTAATCCCAAAAGCGCAATGTATAAAATACTCGAGACCACACAGCCCAAAGGCTGTCTTCGTTTCACCACGCCAAGTAATATATTATGCAAAACCCAAATTTACGTATGGTTTTTGCGTATACTATACGCCGGATATCACCTTAGGTTTGCGCGAAGTATTTAAAACAATATACTTAATATAAAATATTATTAATCTTTATATTTTATATACCTACCTACATTAGCCACCTCATATATTTTATTAGTTTACATAAGTACAATAAACTTAAGAAAAACAATATGATTACATAGATATAGGGTATAATATATAATATTATAATGTATGGAGAACGAAGGTTTATTTCGACTACCTACTTATCGTGTACACATCAACAGAACAAAAAAATTATAAAAAAAATTAAGAAATTAAAAACACATCATGGTAAAATCAAAACTATATAGGTACCCGATACAATTAAAATTAACATAATATTAAATAATAATTAATAATTTTGTGATCGGCAGTATATACGTATAAAATGTTAGACTTGGAATTTTACAAATCTAGTTGCCAGTTGGTATATAGTAGGTACTGTATATCTTTATGTTAACTCTAAAATCCAGTAATCACATTTTCATTTAATGATTCATAAAATATTTACAATATGCTTTTATAAAAATATACTTGTACTACTGATATCTATATTCACCATCTTAATCAATAATTAAAAAAATAAACAAAAATAATAATATAAATATTATATCATATTACTATATTTCAAATTCAAAATTATAAGCATAGATAAGTATATATTATAATAGTATGATTATAAGCTATTTTGATTATTGTCATATAAAATTCGATGAACAAATATTGTTCCTTAATACGGAACTCTTTGATATATAAAAAAATTCATTATATTATATCCGTGGATTCACCATATTGACGTACCTCCTATAATATCTATCATTTATAGTCTATGGCAAATCTCAAATTCGTTTCAGAAGACACAGTCGATTAAAATTTCTAAAATTTCATTAAGCAAAGCAGATATGAGCAAAAAACTCACTGCGTTCCGTTTAATTTTATTTTTCATAAATCACAATATTTTAATAGTTGTGTATTCTGGAGCGTTTCCTCGTCGGCCTCGCAGCTAGTGAACGTCACGGATTCCGCCGAAAGAGTCGATGTTTCAGCGTAAGTTTGTTTTCATATTATTTTGGGATTTACTTTTTTGACTTAAAATAAATATTTATTGCCAAGGACAATCTGTTGACTGAGTGCGGCGTAGAAGCATAAATGTTTACTCCCCAAATCGAAATGTATATTATTATAATATCCTCGAGTCCCGCGAACAGTCCTAAGCCAAGCTTATTACATACCTTATTTTTGCATATTGTACTACATATAATCCTGGAAACACCTTAGGTTTGCTCGAAGTATTTAAAACAATGTTATATTATTAAACATTATATTTTATATACATTATACATTTATACACCTCATATATTTTATTTGTTTATTTACAATTTACACGTATTTTAGTGTCGTTATTATACCCTATAGGTAATAAATATTTTGCAATTATAATATATTTTACCATAATTATTATTCTTGATCCCTAATTATATAATATGATAATATACACTTTAAATTTGAATAATATAAATTTGTTGTTATCAAGATTCACAGTATTACGTACATAAGTCCTAGGTACTCTTTTTTGGACGTTTTCAAAACGGATTATGATTAAAAAAGTTACACAGTTGACGTACCATTCGCTAGATGAACCCGTATGATCTAAATTAGGAATTTTTTATGTTTTTTTTTAGTTTTTTCATAAAACATATGCAATATAATATACTTATATAATCTTTATACATTTTATATAGCTCATACAATTAATAAATATTCATAGTTCATTCATATGTGGATGTATATAGTATATACTTCATAAATATTTTACGATTTAAAACGTGTAATTAATTTAATTATGCAATCATGTATAAGTTTTAATGTATATAATATGTGATATGTGTAGCAGGGTCGCCGGCGCAAGGGGAAATGCATTTTAAAAATTAAAAACATAATATAACGTAATGTTGTAGTAGAAGCTGGAAACTGTAGTACCTATATTCTAATTTATAATCCAATCAATGTAATAACTATTAAATGCAATTAAGAATAATTAAAAAATAATTTGTGAAAGGAACACGATTATTACTGCTACTATAAAAGTCTTAATTATTATTCACAAAAAAATACTAATAGTGGATATTTTAAATTTTAATAGATTTTAACTATTAACATAAATTGTAAATAGTTTTTGATCGATTAATATTATATTATGTAATAGTACCTACTATGAAATGATTATTTTTGAAAAACAATTAAATGCAGGGATTCCCATGAATTCATCTTACACTAGCCTAAAAATATCAGAAATACATTTATTATGCCTACACAAAACACTTACCTACACCTACCAAAATTGAATTTTTCACAAAATTTGTTATTTTAATGATAAATGACAATTTTAGTTCTCTATTATGGTAAAAGTATTTATACAAATATACAATTATTACTCGAAAATACGTTTTCCTATATTATTATTTCCTAAATACAAAGAAACTTTACTTAAAAATAAACAATATGATCATTGATTACGTACAGAGTACCTATAATATATTATGCATGGAGAACGAAGGTTTATTTTGACTACCTACTTATCGTGTACACATCAAACACAAAAAATAAATAATAACAAAAAAATAAGAAATTAAATACACATCATAGTAAAATCAAAATATTCATCCCTCTGCTCAGAATCTAAAATATAAATTATAGGTACTCGATACAATTAAATCAACATAATTTTGTGATCAGCAGTATATGTATATGTAGAAAATGTTTGACTTGGAATTTTATAAATCTAGTTGGTATTATGGTAGGTACTGTAAATTTGATGTACTTAGGTACTGTATATCTTTATGTTAACTCTAAAATCCAGGAATCACATTTTTATTTAATGATTTTTAAAATACAATATGCTTTTATAAAAATATGCGTGTACTTCTGATATCTATCCAACATATTAATAAATAATTAAATTAATAAACGAAAATAATCAATCAAATAATATATCATAATTGATATTATTATAATTCAAATTTAAAATTATAAACTATTTTGATTTTTATCATACAAAATTTCAACAAACAAATATTGTTCCTTAACATGGAAGTCTTTGATATAAAAAGTTGCATTATATGATATCCGTGGATTCATAATATTGATGTACCTAGTATAATATCTATCATTTATATTCCATGGCAAATCTCAGTCATTGCAGAAGACACAGTCGTCATTAAAAATTCCAAAATTTTAATAAGCAAAGCAGATATGAGCGAAAAACTTACTGCGTTCCGATTATTTTATTTTTTATAAATCACAATATTTTAAGTTCTGTATTCTGGTGCGTGTTTCCTCGTCGGTATCGCAGTGAACACCCGTCACGGATTCCGCCGGAAGAGTCGATGTTTAAAGTAAATTTGTTTTCATATTCTTTTGGGGCTTGAATTTACTTTTAAGAATTAAAATAAATATCCAATGTCACGAAAAATGGGTTTTTCAAGTGTTGTAAACGCATATTTTAGTTCCGAACATTAAATGTATAAAATACGCGAGATACAAACGTCCTCGTCGATAATAGTC